TGAACCTCAGTTCTAACGCTCACCAGCGGTGCACATTACCACGAGCCACGAATCGAACATCTGAAGAGTAATCCATAAAATTAGAATTTAATGTGTTAGCCATCATAGCAAGTGCGAAAAACACACCTACACAATGTGTAAACTTTTCAGAAACTGCATGGATAAATAAAAGAAAGAGAATTAGAAATAAAAGTAGAATGTGCTAGAACATTAAATGTATAAATTTAGGTGACTTACCTAAAGAAAATACGGTACTTAAGTATTAACGGTATCTTGGCGACAGTTGCGACAGTAAAGAGCGCACGCGCCAACCGCAGCTACAGATTTGGCGCCAATCTGCACTTAAAATTTTGGTTCCAAATAATAAAATATATATGAAACACTTCATTTAAAATCAAAACGCTTTCAAAATATTTTTATTCCAAATAATAAAGATTGGCGACACTTAAAAACCGCCAAGTCTGTCGCCAAGGTACCGTTAATACGTAAGTACCAAAAATACTAAAACGAAAGAAAAAAAAATAGGCTACACAACCAGAATAAACCTTAAACTCGAATGAACTGAGATAAATCAATCTTGCGAGTCACACCATATCAATCAGTTCTCTCAGAGTACCGAAATATAACTTTAACTGTTAATTCTTATGACGTAATTGTTTACATATTTAATAAGAAGCATTAAATGACTTTCATCTAGCAAACAAGAATTTAATTTAGTAAAGGAATGAATAGGATTATCATAAATTTTAAGTTATGAAGAAACTAACAACTATAATATTGAAAACAATCATAGAATTTGATTTTAATATATTTCAATTTTGATGGCCTGAATAGCCGAGTGGCTAGCCCTCTGGTGCTTGGTACCACAGGTTTCGGGTTCGAGTCCCGGCGGTGCCATGGCTGTTTGTAGTGGTTCGGAATCCACTTTAAACCGTAGGTCCCGGTCCTAATAGGATCGTAGAGCGTTGCGGGGGCAGTGTTACTCCACGTCCGTGGCTTATCATCAAGTCACACGCGCCCCTTGGGTAATGCAAAGTGAGTACGTCTGTGCAGCACTTGCCTTAAGGCATCCAAAGACCAAGCTGTCTGTGTTTGCCAGCTGCATTAGAAAGAAAAAAAAATATTTCAATTTTGATCTTTATTTTGCATTTCAACTATTTATAACTGTGTTTCTTTAAATGCATTGTAATTATTTTGTGATTTAAAAAATACATTTATAATGAAAAGATAAACAACAATATTTAATTATTAATAATTATCATTAAGCAACTGTATTTTAATAAAGAATGTTCCTTTTAATAATTCCTCTTTAAGTTTCAAATTTAAATCAGGAGTTAAAAGTCTTTGAAAGAAAAAACGTTGAAATTTAATTAATACATTTTCAAGTTTGATTATTCATTTATAAAAATATAGTTGCTTAATAATAATTATTAATAATTAAATATAGTTGCTTATCTTTTCATTATGAATGTATTTTTTAAATATATTTGTTAATAAAAAATGGCATTGGGTTCGGCCGGGATTTGAACCCGGGACCTCTCGCACCCGAAGCGAGAATCATACCCCTAGACCACCGAACCACGGCGTTTAACTTTAGTTTAATAAATTTTTATTTAATTTTTAGGACATTTTTTTACATTATTTTCTTCACACAATTTTAATTATCTTCTATCTCATGAAGAATTTGGATATCATTTTATAGTGAACTTTCTCTTCAAACGAATAAGAGAAAATACTAACAGTTATTGTTTTTTACTTTCTGTCAGCTATTTAATTTAAATATAGTTTTTTAATAATAAATATAAGTCTACATTTCAAAATTATCAACTATAATATATTAAACTAACTTTTGATCTAGGCTTTGTATTAAAGGTTATCTCTGTCAATTTTGGTGAAATTTAAATCTAAACCATGCATATGGGCATACATAAACTTATAGAAATATATATATATATATATATAAGTAATATCTGCATAATTAATAGCTTTAATTAGTATTTCAAGTCTTACCTTAATTAATTTATGGAATATCTGATATGTTTAAAAGAAATACCGTTTATATTTTTTTTTAATTTAAAATGTTGATGCTAAAAAACGAAATAAGTCGAAATTAGAAGGAAACGAGCACTGGAGGTTCAGGAGATCCAAGGAATCAAGGGAATTGTACATGCAAAATAAAAGCTCTACAAATGTGCTACTTCCCGATAAATACAGCAGTTGATTAATAAACATCTTACTCACTTTGTGAAAATTGTCATAAGTAAACAAATTTCTAACTACGAAAAAGGCAAAACAAGAGTGAAAGCAGATATCTATCGTAGCAGAATTTGTTTACCTTTTCCTTTTCTGAACGTCAGCTTTTAATTAGGAAGTGTTTTGTTTGAATTTCGATATCGAAGCCAAAGGTTATTTTCTACGTGTACACATTGTAATCTGATGAACGGATATGAGTTGAAAAGTCTACAGTCGAGCCCAGATTTCAGCTTGAAATGACTCGGCCAAACACAGAAATAGGTTCATTCCAATTTGGACAAAACTCGAAACGAATGTTCTTTTGCACCTCGTGTATCGGGATAAGTGAAATGTCGCTTTGAACATTGTTGGTTTTGTGTATCACATCAAACAATTTACGACCTATAAAATGACAACCTATCGCTTGTTCACAACGGGTCATAACTGGGTTTGTTTTTAAAGTTCAAACTTCAACACTCGGGAACAGAAGAATACTCATTATTATCAAAAGAAACAAAGAATATATTTATCGCACGAGATTACAAACTGTCCATCACACATTTGGTGGAAATGAAACTTGAATTTCATCCAACTTCTCGTAGCAATATTTCTACAAAACGCTGGGAAAAAAACTCTTCAACCAACAGGAAACATGGATTTATATTGCGAGAGTCAGAAGATTCATTGACTTAGCCGTAAAACTCGTCGGAAAAAAAACGTTTCTTTTCGCTGCCCAGAAGAATCTCAGCTGTCGGGGGGAGACCAACTAAAAATCTTTGCACGATTTTCGAGTAAAATAGAGCCTCAATATTTAAAAACATTATATGGTTAAGAAACCACAGTGACGTACGACTGAGTGATAGCGATGTAAGTGTTAGAGGAATGGAATAGCACTCGAAAGAGAATTTGTATATTTTGTCGAGTTTCTTGAAAAATACTCAACAAAGAATAAAACTAATGCTTCCCAAAATGCAAATATCTAGTGTTGAATACGTAAGCGTATACATGCTTGTGGACCTGGGGGCCTGTTGGCCGAGTGGCTAGCGCTCAGGCGCTCGATACCACAGGTTTCGTATTGAGTCCCAGCGGTGCCATGGATGTTTGTAGTGGTTCGGAATCCACTTTAGGCGTAAGTCCCGGTCTGTTTAACCTAAAGTGTGCATAAGATGACCGTAGAGCGACAAAAAAAAAAAAAAAAAAAAACTGCGTGTGTACCTCAATTTTCGTTGTTTGTTCACTCAAAGAACTCGCTGAATTTAGGGGTGTTTTGTTTTTTCAACATTCGATGGAATTCAAAAGCAAATAATTGAAATAAGTAACGATTGCATGATGCGAAGAAACGTGAAGAGAATGGAAACAGGTAGTCTCAAGTAAAATAGCTGGAGATTTAAATGTGACACCCCACATTGTGTCCAACTTGTGGAGACATCTTAAAGATACAGGATTCTTTGAGAGAAAGCTTGGTCATACAAGAGCTACAGTGAAACATACAACCTACAAAACTGGAAAATATAAACAAGTTAAGTAAAACAATTTTAACAAATTAAGATAAGTCAAGATTGGTTTAAAAAAATTTCCTATTAAAAATATAAAAATTATTTATATTAAGTCTTAGTGAATGCAAATTATTTTGAGTTTTTAGGAAGTTAAAGGAAAAGTAGTAAGAAATATATAATAACGAAAATAATTGAAGTTTAAGTAAAAATAATTTTTTGAAAAAGCTCAAGAGAGAGTTAGGTATAATACCAAAATGGGGGCATACATATGGTACAACAGAAATAAAATAAAGAGAGTTTTTAATAAAAATATAACGTTTATATTTAAAAAAATTAAAGACAGTCCTAATGCAAAGCCGCGTCTACATTTGAAACATGCTGCCAAACTGTGATGCCTCTGTTCCTGTGTGTTGCAGTTTGAACTCGAAACACAATCCCATTAATACTCCCCTGTCCGCAAGCAACCAACTGTCATTCGGCAGGTCGGGACCCAAAACCGACTTCAAGCAGAGCGGCATTTCATCTCCTCGAATCCCAACAAGAAAAGCAGCATGCCTTTCGATTCACATCTAAATTGCAGCTAGCAAGTTTTCTGCGCGTACACAGAACTTCTAGCATTGAAAGACCTTCTAGACCTTCTCATTTGAAATAAGAAACAATAGAAATGCATACTTAAACTAAAACGAGAAGTGGTGCCATCTATCGGCAAACTTAAAAACTTCTCTTTTGATTAAAAAGAGGTTTCAATTTTTTTTCTACTGATTTGATTTTTGGCTTCTCATTTGATTTTTTGTAAGCTTGAGCAGTATTTTACTCCAAACCACACTCACGTATAACAATTATTTAATTTTATGTTAATTTGTAAATCTGTTAGGGATTCTTAAAAAACTGTTCATGTTTAAAAATGAAAAAAAAACAGTTATAGAAATACAAATTTACAATAATTATATTTATTATTATACAAAAAAATAGATCAATTTCTTTTAAAAATATAAAACACTATAAAAAGATTCCTATTCCATATAGAGATGTTGCAATCGATATAAAACAAATTAATACACTAAACCGTAAAGCTGGAAAATACAAAATAGTACAGTGACAGAAGATATAATATAATCGTAAAAAGATGGAAAAAAACTAAATATTATAAAAACAGTTATAAAAATATAATATAATATATTTATTATTATACAAGAATAGATCAACTTCCTTTAAAAATATGAAACATTACAAAAAGTTTCCTATTTCCGTATAGAGATGTTACAATCTCTAACCGGTTCTCGTTAGATCACCGAAGTCAAGCATCATTGGGCGCGGTCAGTACTTGGGTGGGTGACCACCTGGGAACACCGCGTGCCGTTGGCAAATTTGGGACCTGAATGGCCGAGTGTCTAGCGCTCTGGCGCTCGGTGTCACAGGTTTCGGGTTCAAATCCCGGCGGTGCCATGGATGTTTGTAGTGGTTCGGAATCCACTTTAAGCCGTAGGTCTCGGTCTCCTATGACTGTAAGAGCGTCACGGAGCAAAAGTCAGGCTTCTACCTACGGGTGCTCCATCACAACAGAAGCTGCTTCCTTCCCCTTCAATCATGAGTACGTACGGGCTCGTGGGCTTGGCCAGCCAAGTGGGATAAGAAACAACAACACAATCTCTATATAAAACAAAATCGTGAAGCTTGGAAATACAAAATAGTACAGTGAAAATAAGATCAAATATAATAGTAAAAATATGGAAAAACAAAATAGTACAGTGAAAATAAGATCAAATATAGTAGTAAAAATATGGAAAAACAAAATATAAAATTGTAAAGATATGGAATAAAAACAATATATTCTCAAAACAGTTTATTAACCTATTTATTTTATTTTTTACCAATTATGAAAAAATAAGAGAGTTTTATAATATTGTTCTACAAAGCATGTAATTTTTATAATTCGGATACAAACCTCATTCTTCAATTAATTTTTTAAATGCTTCATATCTTTCCTGTTTCTACTAATAGATGGCGACATGGCAAAAAGTAAAAGGTAATATTTTCGAAATATTTCCTCGATCAGTTGATTTATTTAATTATTCATTTTCTAATGAAATATTATAAGTATTTTTTTTTTAATAGAAATTTTGGAAAATGTCAAAATACTTCATGAAAACGCAGAATTCAAAGTAGGATCTTTTAGTTATGTTTAATTGTTATAAATCTCTAAATATTTCATTACTATGTTTCATTATTTTAATATAAATTTTAAATAGAATAAATATATAACTATTATTCCATATATGATTTTTTTTTTAAAAAATTATATATATTTTCTATAAATCTATTTTTTATAAACAAAAATAAATTAATCATTTGAAAAATAATTAATCTCTTTTTTTTTTATTTAAACTCATGTTTGTGAAAATTGCAACACCATGAAGGACTTACGCGAGTGAGCTGAAATTTTCAGGAAATGCAAATTAGCGCATGATATGCAAATGATTAGAATTTCAAATCCGTAGCGCATGCGCATGCTGAGCATGGGTCCGAATAAATAGACGGCTGTAACGAGGCGTGTATGGTTATCGGTAGTTATCTGCTGGTGGTAAACGTTAGCTCAATGGTTACTTATGCCTCTTCGACGAAAGAGAGCGAGATTTGAACAACTTACAGAGTTTGAACGGGGAGAATCATCGGCCTTCGTGAAGCTGGATTGTCTTATCGTGCAGTATCCGCTCGTGTGCAGCGTAACAGCAGCACAGTGATTTTTTTTAGCAGCACAGTGATTTGCGCCTTTGGCAGCAGTGGACGGACGAGTGTCGGACATTTCTGAAATCCGGGAGTGGACCCCGAAATGTGACGTCAGCTCGCGATGATAGACACCTGGTCCGCATGGCGCTGACGGACCGTACAGCTTCCTCTAGACAATTGCCAGCCCAGTGATCAATAGCTACAGGTGTTTCATTGTGTGCTTCATCAATTCGCAGACGTCTGCTGCAGCGTGGACAGCGCGCAAGGACTCCTTTATACAGGATCCCTCTCACGCTAAACCATCGCAGCCTGCGGCTACAAAGGGCCGCTCAGCATAAGGCGTGCTGATTAACTGTGGTACCATGATGGCCGCATTCGTGTCAGACGCTATACCGGTGAGCGCCACCTTCCGGAGTGCATTATCGAACGCCACTGTGGACGAACACCCGGAGTTATGGTCTGGGGTGCCATAGCATATCATGGACGATCTCAATTGCTATGAATTGTGGGCAATCTGAACAGCAACCGGAACATCAGTGAAGTTCTACAGCCCCAAGCTGTTCCCTTCCTTCAATGCTTGCCAGGCTCTGTATTTCAATAGGACAATGCCCGCCCTCATATCGCTAGGACTGTTCAATCCTTCTTTGCAACGCGGCAGGTACAGTTTCTTCCTTGGCTTGCGTATTCCCCGGATATGTCGCCGATTGAACATGTGTGGGATTTCGTTGGTCGGCGTCTCGCTCGTGATCCTCGTCCTGTTGCTTCTGCAGACGAACTTTGGGTGCGCATACAAACAATATGGAATGCTCTTCCTTAGGCAGACATTCAAAATTTGTTTGACAAAACTTATTGCGGCGCGTGGTGGCTAATACATTCCGATCTCTGTTTATTGTTCGTTTGCTTTGAACATTTAATCATTTATTTGTACCACTACCACTCAACTGTGTATTAAATTTCATTCAATTATGACGATTCCTTCATGGTGTTGCAATTTTCACAAACATGAGTTTATCAAAATATATTACAAATTTTTCTACCAGCTAATGTGCTGTTATAAATGAAAGAAAATTTGTTCACAAAGATTTTGATGAGAAAATAATTAACGATAATCAAGTTGATGCTTGGCATTAAAAATGAAGTTAAGAGATGAATAGAATATTAGTTACTGAGAAATAAATTAATTGCGATTTAAGAAATATTGCGTTAGAACTGCAATCAAAGCGTCTTAACTAAATAATTCTTCCCCATATTAATAACCAGTTTTATTGATGAAATTGCAGGCCAAAAATCAAGCAACTGTAATCAAGTGTGGCAATTGCAATTGACAAATCAAGTTGTAATCAAGTGTGGTAATTGCAAACCACAAATCAAGCTGTAATCAAATCTGGTAATTGCAAGCCACAAATCAATCGGTAATCAAGTATGGTATTCACAAGCCACAAATAAAGCTGCAATCAAGTGTGGTAATTGCAAGCCACAAATGAAGCTGTAATCAAGTGTGGTATTTGCAAGCCACAAATAAAGCTGTAATCAAGTGTGGTAATTGCAAGCCACAAATAAAGCTGTAATCAAGTGTGGTAATTGCAAGCCACAAATAAAGCTGCAATCAAGTGTGGTAATTGCAAAGCCACAAATAAAGCTGTAATCAAGTGTGGTAATTGCAAGCCACAAATGAAGCTGTAATCAAGTGTGGTAATCACAAGCCACAAATAAAGCTGCAATCAAGTGTGGTAATTGCAAGCCACAAATAAAGCTGTAATCAAGTGTGGTATTTGCAAGCCACAAATCAAGACGTCAACGCCAAGCATGTAATCTCAATCTTTTTATCTCTACGAAAAAAAAGTAGAAAGAATGAGGCAAAAAGGAAAGAACAATTTTTTTATACATATCTATTTCAGAACCAGCAACACATGCTGTATTTCGTACTGGAAAGAAAATATTTTTAAACAAAATATTTAAATACAATATATTTTAATCTTTTAAAAGCACAACTCTTGACCCAGTGGTAAAGTGCGCATCTAGCGAACGTTAGGACGCAAGTTTGAATCCGCTAGCTGAGTTCGTTGCAGTCGCTGCTTTCAGAAACGAGAAGTCAGTGGTCATTCCGACAATATTTGTAAGAGTCTCTCGCATCGACAGTCAAGGCTCGTGCTCACCAAGGCGACAAGATGCAAGCGACCAAAATTTGACCTCACCGCGGTCGCCTGAAACCGGTTTGCAGTTCGCCGCGTGGAGTAGCCCAACTTTCAACTTCAAGCGGTTTTTCACTATGCGTAATGCTATTTCTGACGTTTCGCTGTGAAGGGGTCGAAAAAATTTGGTCGCTTGCCTCTTGCATCTTCACGTCTCTCGCCTCGGTGGGAACGAGCCTTCAGGCTTCCTAGTGAGAGTTTCCCTGATTTTCTCAAAATACCATACTCAAATGCAGGACGATAACAGCTAAAAGTCCTCTCGAAAAGCAATGTAGCGCATATTAGTGGGATTAGTGAAACACGAACCTCAATAATGTACATAAAAAAAAATAGTTAAAATTTATTTAGTGTGTAAGTTTAGTAAAATCCTAACATAATATGAATAAAAATGTTGTTTGTTTGTTTGTTGTTTCTTATCCCACTTGGCTGGCCAAGCCCACGAGCCCATATGGACTCATGATTGAAGGGGAAGGAAGCAGCTTCTGTTGTGATGGAGCACCCGTAGGTAGAAGCCTGACTTTTTGCTCCGTGACGCTCTTACAGTCATAGAAGACCGGGACCTACGGCTTAAAGTGGATTCCGAACCACTACAAACATCCATGGCACCGCCGGGATTCGAACCCGAAACCTGTGGCACCGAGCGCCAGAGCGCTAGACACTCGGCCATTCAGGTCCCAAATTTGCCAACGGCACGCAGTGTTCCCAAGTGGTCACCCACCCAAGTACTGACCGCGCCCAATGATGCTTAACTTCGGTGATCTAACGAGAACCGGTATATTCAGCATGGTACGGCCGTTGGCTTGAATAAAAATAAACGAAAATAATAAATCTAAAAACCACATTTGGAAAACAAAACTCAGAAACATATTTTTGGTTAGCCATAAAAAAAGTTGGACGATAAAAGAATCCAGTAAGTATCAGTGCATAACTGCAGTCAATATCTGTACCAGGAAATAATTCACATTACATCAACTAAAGCAATAAATGACTGATAAGGAAAAATATATCACATAACGATATGCATTAATGTATTATTTATTTATGTAACACAGCACTTGAAGTAGGCCATACCACTAATATTTTTCTATTAAATCTTATCACTATCTCAATTACTTATATTACCCGATGACAATATAATTTTTTTATTATTAAATCATTTAATAAAATAAATTAATTTAAGAGTGAAAATTACAACTTGCTAATCTGATATTCCAATAATTCAACCAAGATTTTTTTATTTAAACGGTAACCGTGCTTCCTTCTACACACTGGCACCCCCTTTCCTACCTGTAGGATTCAGGAGAAATGGTCAGTCGTCCTCGAGACTTTCCCCCGTAAGAAAGTAGAGCACAGCACAACATGTGCTCCCACTGAGAAACGTTTAGTTTATTGTCTCTCATACGAGAGGAAATATATTTTGCGCACCCCGCGCGTAGCTGAGT